CCAGCGATCCGAGTTCAAATCTCGGTGGAACCTGCTTATCATTTTTCTTTTTTTCCTCCAAGGAAAACACCACCTAAATGACCAAATTCAGTTTTGACCCTGACATCACCTGTGATTTCATGAAGTCCCCACACACCTGTATCTCTGAGGATACAGGAACGAAATTCCACTCTGGGTTAAAAAATTTTACTTTATAAGGAAAACACATCATGACGTCTGAGGAAGAAACGTTGACAGCAAATACACTTTCTGGTAGAATATCCGCCCTCTGTTGAAGAATGCTGAAGCTCAGTTTGGCTGCTTAGGCTGATGAGCCAGAGATCTTATGTGACGTTGTGGCCGACTGGTTAAAACTACGAACTAGAATCCATTCGGGTCTCCCAGCACAGGTGTGAATCTTGCTGACAATAGAAGAGAAAAAAAGAATCAATGTGTTACATACATGAGAACCAGCTGTCTGTGACTCCCTGAAAGGAAAACTCACCAATCTGGTTCTTACTGATGTTAGTGAAAGACTCATTACTTTTTAAAAAAGGAGTGAGAACACAGTCCTGATGGTGTTTTCTTTCCCGCATGGGAGCCCAGGCTTTGGTGATATTTTCATGATTCCCGCAGTCAAAACCCTAGGTGAAGACAGCCTTTCCTAAGGAAAGCAATGTTTGCTCTCCAAGGAGCTGGTCTCTGCGACAAGCATGCAGGAAAGGGAACCCTAGGAAATCTTGGACCATCTATGGTGAAAACTAAGACTCAGAGCTGTGGTCCCCAAGTTGTGAATCCAAGCTGGGTATTTTTTTTTTTTTCCAAGCTGGGTATTCAGAAGCAAATCACTACCCAGTTCAATAAAGTAGGGAAAGGCACTTTACTTGTTTGTCATCCTTAAAGTGTCCATGAAGTCCTGCCAGGCTGGCTTTTCCTTGGGTCCAGGACAGTGGCTGGCACAGAGTTCAGTCCCCAAACCCATTGGGTTAATGTGTTAAACCCCGGTGAGTTTCTTCCTAGGAATTCCCGGGAGGATTCAGTCTCTGCTGTGGCAGCTTGGCATTCAGCCTCTTCCTTTTCAGGTTTGAAGTCTGCTAGACACGTCCTTCTCCTCCCCACTTCTGAGAGCAGCTGCATGCCTTCTTCCTTTATTAACGTGATCAGTTTGCCTAAGGGCTTAGACATTTAATTTTTCCCCACATAAAATTTCATCTTTGTAAGCAATCTCTATTTATGTGTCTATTCTAAAGTATTAAACCAGTCATTTTATTCACTCTTTCCTTCCCTAAGATTATTTTGGGTAATATTTGCTGACCTTTCCCTGTCTCCTCCCATCCTCCCCCTCCTCTCTTGGCTCCTCTTCCAGCATCTCCCAGTGGAACACTTTCTTCTCCGTTTTCCTTGCTCCAGGACAAGGTGAAATCATATCAGACCACTGTCTGCTCTCACCCGCACACAGAGATCCCCTTCATTCCAGGTTCTTCTCGAACCTCCCCCTTCACAGTGGACCCGGACTTTGTCTGCTTTAAGGACCAGACCACCCAATCAGCGGAGGAATATGCCCTACCACAGCCATGGTCATTCACGGTCATGCTTCTCTGAATCATTCAGCAAACAGGCAGTTGAGACCGAAGATAGAGTCTGGGGAGCATCTTCCTTTATCCTGTAAACTTTGAACTCAGTTGGAGGCCCCAAAACGAGGTCAGGATGTCTCCTTCAGGATGTTGGAAAAGCATGGGGAGAAAAACCCAGCAGATGATGATTTTGACTCATTGACCTCTGGGCTATGGGCCTAGTGCGCTTCTGCTGCACTAACTCTGCTCACACCTGCAGAAGAGCTAGAATTTACATCCCGATTCCTTCCAGTCTGATGGCCTCTGACCTCAGGTCCTGAGAGGCCTCCCTTTCAGGTGGCCTTTGTTCATGTCTCTGACTCTCCCTCTCCTTATAAGGACACTGCCATTAGATTTATAGACCAACCTAACCCAGTAGGACTTCACCATTATTACATAAGCAAATACTTTTCAAATAAACTCACATCCAGTGTGAGCCATGATAAATAGTGCTGTCAAAACTATTCTTTACATCATCATACGTGTGATGTCTGGGAGGATGGATGACTTCAACACTTACATGGGCTTCTTGACCTTCTTGACCTTCTTGGCATTCTGCCCCAGTAGCTCTTCGTGCAAGTGCAAATGAGAGACAGGTGCCAGACAACCATATTCTAACTAATTCCCAAATGAGTCTGCTAAGTCTCCTGCCTTTTATTTATTTAAAAAAATATATTTAAGAGAGAAATAGAAACATCAAAGATGAAAATCTCTGGTTAGCTGCCTCCTGCATGCACCCCACTGGGGATTGAGCCCACAACCTTGTGCCCTTGACCAGAATCAAACCTGGGAACCTTCAGTCCACAGGAGGATGCGCTATCCATTGAGACAAACTGGCTAGGGCGTTTCTGCCTTTTAAACCCAGGTTTTCCTGTGAGCCTTAATGAAGCTGTAGTTGGGGTACCTTTGGATGGCACTGGAGTGTTTCTCTGGAAGGCTGGGCCTGGAGGGGGACCAGTCCCCTGCAGCTCAGAGCCCAGCATGAGAGGAGACAAAGAAGTGACAGCTGATTCCCCAGAATCTGAGAAACTCAGTGAGTTCCTGGGCTTTCATGTTAAAGAAAGGTGGAATACAGCACTTGATCCTAAGGGGGATGATTGCTGGCAAGTGTGAAACCCTAACTGAATACACAAAACAGGTCCTCGGGGGACAGGGCCAGGCCGCCTGCCTGGGGATTCGAACCTGTGCGGGGAGACCCCAATGGATTTCTAGTCCATCGCCTTAACTACTCGGCCATGACTACAAGACCATAAAAGCCACTCTTTAGATTATAGACAACAAAGAATACAGACAAGAGTAACCACGTGCTTTGTTGATTTGTATCTCATATACAAACAGGCTTTGTAAGATAAACGCAAACCTTTAGATGAAATGATTGTTGTCCATCATTTACACATATCACTTTTTTGTGCACAAATTTTTGTCAAACATAAATGATTCCCTTCACCCAAGTCATTTGAAACCCTAGCTTTGCTTAAAGTTAGATACCAAAAAAAAACAAAACTTTTGTATTTAATAAAACCTGCAAAATAAAAAGCAATTCGTGATGCGTTGGAATGTCTGTATTCCTTTTCACTTTGTGTCTTTTCTTTCTTTCTTTCTTTCTTTCTTTCTTTCTTTCTTTCTTTCTTTCTTTCTTTCTTTCTTTCTTTCTTTCTTTCTTTCTTTCTTTTTTACAGAGAGGAGAGAGAGATAGAACGTTAGAAACATCTTGATCAGCTGCCTCCTGCACACCACCAACTGGGGATGTGCCCGCAACCAAGGTACATGACCTTGACTGGAGTAGAAGCTGGGACCTTTCAGCCTGCAGGCAGACGCTCTATCCACTGATACAAACCAGACACTTTACTTTGTGTCTTTATTTCAAATGTTCTCTCACAGCTTTCTTTCGGGTTTCATTTATGCCATGTTTTCTTGCAATCTATTGAGAATTCCAAATTGTTTTTACATTTTCTAGTTCCTACAGATCCCCTTTTCCCCCCTCCTCCGTCCCCGCCCAGAAATCTGCTCTTATGAGACTTCTAGATATTGTTTCCATCCCTTGACTGCAACTTTGTGTCCATTTACTGTTAGGATTTCCAAGTTAAGTTCTGTCAACCAACACTTGATTTTGGCCCCTTTCCAGGTGCTGGGGACACAGTATTTAAAAATACAAAAACCTACGACGTCCCACGGCACTACAGTCGGGCAAAACACGGTGACGCCACCTCCCGATTCCTTCAGCATTTTAAAAAGTATGGGTTACGACACATTTGGGAGTCATAAAAGCAACAGTGGGTCAGGACCAGAATTTTTAAACGAAGGAATAGAACACTGACTAGAGGGCAGGACAGGTCATAGAAGTACTTGATGCATGGCGAAATGTTTGCTTTTCAAAATTACATGCGTGAAAATGTGTATTTCTTATGATCTGTCCGATCCACACACTCGAGAGTGCGCGCTCCAATGCACACCCCGCCTGAGCGATGCAGGGCAAATGACGCGCTGGCCGGCGGGACGGGGTCTCCGCGGGTGGCCAGGCCTCTGGGAAATGGGTCGGCGCGCGGAGCATCCTGGGGATCGTAGTCCTGTGCCAACGCGTGGAGCATCCTGGGGATCGTAGTCCTATGTGTCCACCGGCGCTTTAACGCACCCTCGAACGGGGGCGGGCTCTCTCCAGACGACCGGAAGTGGCCGTTGAAGCCGCTGTAGCCCGGGTCGGAGGTGGGCGCTAGGCAAATCCAGCCGTTCTAGGTTCGGGGATCCTCCCGGCGCTTCCGAATCAGCGATCGGAGCTTGTGGGATCGCTTCGGAGAAAAGCGCAGGTATCACCATGGCAACCGCCAGCTCCCCGGACGCGTGACGTCGCCCTGCTTGGAAAGGCCGCTGCGGAGGGAGCCGGGGGTCCTGGCCGGGGGCGCCCCACGCCGCCTTCAGGTTCAGCGCGGCGGCTCCGCCCGGACCCCGCGGCGGCTTTGTTCTTTGTTCCGCTCCGGGAGGAAGCGCGGAGCTGGGCCCGCCCCGCTGGGCCGCGGGCCAGCTTTCTGCCCCGCAACAGGTGTGCGCCCCGAGTCCCGGCCCGCGGGCTCCGGAGGGAAGGGGACGTCTGTGGGCGCCTCTGGCCCCAGTCCGGGCGGCTCTAGGGGTTTTCTTGTCCTGGGCTGGACCTGGAACCGAGCCCCCTGCTTTGCTCAGCGGGACTGCCCCTGCCGGCTCTTCTCTGTCCAGGGACCTCCCGGCCGCCCCGCAGACCTCGAGGTTTGACTGCGACGTAGGCCGCTGACCCCCGTGTCTCCCAGACCAGCACCCTGAGCGCTGACGGTCCAGAGCTCGCTCTGGGCATCCGTGCCGCAGACGGAGGATCCACTGGAGGGCGCTGCTTGGGAAACCTTGGGGACTGGCTTCCAGAGAACGGGATGACCTCCTGAGATGGAAGGTAGTGGGGACCTCAAGTGGGGGGTGAGGGGTGGGGGGAGGAGGGCGCGTGATGACGGAGGCAAAAGAACAGTCATCACTTGAAGAGCAAATACTCGTACAGCACTTGTCGGCTGAAGAGGCGGAAGGAGGAGGAAACCTTGTATTTAAGAATCAAGGAAAGAGACCGATTTACAGTGCAGGGAGAGACTTGGAGGAAGAGCTGGGGATGGCGAATGACAAGGAGGCATGATGCAGAATGTCTGATCCTCACATGGCATATTCATTAAATACTAGAGGCCCGATGCACGAAATTCGTGCGAGAGTGGGCCTTCTTTGCCCCGGCTGCCAGCACCAGCTTCCCTGATCAAGGCTTTGTCCAGAAAGTCCTCTGGAAGGACATCAGGTCTAATTAGCATATTACGCTTTCTTATTATCGGTCAGAATGGTAATCTTGAAGTCAGAAAAAAAAAAGTCTTGGCAATCATTCTTTCAAGAAACCATTTTATAACATATGGTTGGGAGCTGGCCAATGCCTGTAGGAGTGTGACATTACATTCTCCGTTTTCTGTGGACTTTTCCCTCCTCTCTTTTTTAAATTTTATGTTAGAAGTGCCTGTCCCTTCACTTCTGCATTGATCTTAGTTCTTGGAGTCCCCAAAGCAAAACTGTTTTCAGTCTCACACTGCTGTCCTTCACATATGTCAAATCAGCTATTACAACTCCTCTTCACAAATCCTTTTCTAAGCAAAATAGCCTCCATTCCTTTGATGCTTGTTCATGTGATACTTAGAGGCTGGTGTACAAAATTCATGCACAAGGGAGAGGGGGGAGGTGTTGTCCATCAGCCTAGCCTGCACCTTCTCCAGTCTGGGACCCCTCGGGATTTCCGGAAGTCGGACATCCCTCTTACAATCCGGGACTGCGGGTTCCCAACCGCTCTCCTGCGTGCCAGACTGATCACACCCAACCACTCTCTTGCCAGCCAGATTGCCCCCAGTTGTCCTCCCCTGCTGGCATGGTTGCCCCCAGCTGCCCTGTCCTGGAGGCCTGGTCCCCCCAACTTCCCTCCTCTGCTGGCCTGATCACCCACAACTACCTTCCCCTACTGGCCATCTTGTGGCGGCCATCTTTGACCACATGGGGGTGGCCATCTTGTGTGATAGCATGAGGGTCAATTTGCATGTTACCTTTTTATTATATAGGATATCAAGGCCTTTTCTCTGAAACTCACTGCAATGACAGCATGCTTCTAAAAAATGAAACATAGTTCAGTGGATGTGCTTTCAAAAATACTAAAAGTACAATGTATTGCTTTAAATTTGGATTCTGTGATTTAGTATCATATTGTATTTGGATTTTAAAAATTAGCAATATTATGCTGTAAGCCCTAAATCATTTTTACATAATTTGCAGTGAACTTTGTGTAATAGAATTGGTTTTATTTTTTTTATCCCCAATGCCAGGGCTTCACATGTATGATTATTTAATATTTTGGCCAAGAGCTCCAGCTTGTCCAAATAGTTAAGAATTTAATTACTCATTGTTTTACCTCTTTTTCCCAACTTTATGTAATTAGAAGATTTATTGTATATTCCTCTATTTCTTCCTACATGTTATCAAACAGATCAAGGTAAGCAAAGAGTTCTGTGACATGTCCCTTTAGATTTCCCTCTGCATTGTCACTGTCTTTACATGCTTTAGGTATGGCTATACAGTCAGGTTTGGTTTAACCTATTATTATACAGTCATTTTTTAAATTTCTTTGATATCATTAGAGGTCTTAACATTGTTTATATTATTTATGTAGTTTGAGCTATACCTTATATTTGTCTCAATTCTTTGTCTCGATTCTATATATATATAATTTCAGAGAGAAAGGGAGAAGGAGAGAGAGAAACATCAATGATGAGAATCATTGAATAGCTGCCTCCTGCAGGCCCCCTACATAGAGCTGCTGTCTCTCCAGGACGTGGTAGAGTGCCCTTGGTAGTAGGTGTCCTTGGTAGTAGGTGTCCTGTAAGGCCCCCTAGTTCAGCCTCCTCAGTGACCTGAGCCGGGCACCCTAGTGCTCCCCTGTGGGGGCTGTGTGCACAGTCTTGTAGTTGAGTCTTGATTGCTGCTGATGTCACTGGGAGGAGTTGACCTCCAGGCCAATTGGCTGTGAGGACCAGCTGTGACTACAGGGAGAGCTGATGTGCAAGAAACACCCCTATGGAGCAGGACTTGCTTCAGTGGGGCTTTGGTGCTCACTAAGTGTGCCCTTTGAGGGTGTCACTTGTGGACGTGTAGAGTTGTAATCTGCTCTGGTCTGAAGCTGCCCACTGGCTCTGCGGCCTCCCTGGAGGTGCAGAGTCAGTCACTGCCTGGGGCCACCCAGCAGGAGCCACAAAGAGTTCACCAGGTGGGTGCTGTTTGTATTGGGCTTGAAAGTGCCCAGGTGAGGCCCAGCTGTGAAGCAAGGCAGGCTGGTGTTGGGCCTCTGATTGGTAGGTTTGGGGCATGCTCATGCCAGCTGCTGCTTGTTTAAGTGATTTTTAAAAAAATCTAAAGCCTGGGCCAGTTCAGGCCATTCATATGGAAAAGCCACTGCAAACAGCTTGTGTGGGGCTGCAAATAGGATGGGGCAGGGTCTCAGGAAATCACTAGGGTGGAGTGAACAGTGTGGACCGTGCTGATGGAATCTCAGATATGGCTGCCAGCACAGGAACAATGACCCTCCGAGCACTGCCATCTGAGAGAAAGCTGCCCCCAAGTTCCTGCCCTGATGCCAGCAGTTGTAGTGACCATGTCCATTTTACTCTAGACGTTCTTGCAAGGAGTATAAGTATATTCACTGCTCTGATGTTTCATTTGCATTAATAGCAAAGTTTCAAAAGGCCTGTGAAAGTAGTCTGATTATTCATATATATATATTTAATATATATATATTATTGATTTTTTTTTTACAGAGAGGGATAGAGAGTTAGAAACATCGATAAGAGAGAAACATCAATCAGCTGCCTCCTGCACACCCTCTACAGGGGATGTGCCGCAACCAAGATACATGCCCTTGACCGAAATTGAACCTGAAACCCTTCAGTCCACCGGCTGACGCTCTATCCACTGAGCCAAACCAGTCAGGGCTATTCATGTTTTTTATGTAACAGCGAAGCAGCAGAAATATTTTGCCTCACTTAATAGGATCATAGATTGAGTTGTATGATCCATATGGCTATAAGTATCTAGAGACAAATTGTTAATCTTAAAGTAATGATATCAGGGCTATAGTCAGCAATTATCTTGATTCTTCTTTGGATTCTGTGAATTTGAATTAAAGGAAATGGCACAATTCCTGTTATCTTCAACTAGAAAAGTAAGTGGGCTTTACAGATTGCTGGGAGCAGCTATGGTGGACAGAATTCACTGGTTTCTTCTTCCTCACCTAGATCTGCCCTCTCCAATATCTGCCCTTCTCCAATGGGAACATACTATACTCCCATCAGCCAGTTTTCAGGTAAGTTGGGATTTCCTAAAATGCCATTTTGCCTCTGCGAGTGGAATAGTATATTCTTTTGCTGTGGGGGTATATTTATCCAAAAACAAATGTGTTTTATTCTAGGCTCCCATTTGATGTTCTTCCTAGTTCTGCTTCCCTAGCTTAACTAATGTATTTACCACTTACCTCTTGTTTATTAGTAGTTTGGCATGCTTCAATATGGCAAGTAAATATTTAAAAGGCGAAATGAATGCGTGGAAAATAGGGAATGAATAAGGTGTAGATGGATATTTGGACAAATAAGGTCGGAGAGTTGAGGTAGATTCTGAGTATGGATAAAGATTATGAACAAAAGTTAACATAAGAATTAGCTGGTGTTATACAGGATTCATAAAAAATTGGAGGAGATGATTTATTTTGGCAAACAGTAAACGGTAGAACAAGGTTGGAATATGAAAGGTAGTGAATGTCTAGTAAGAAGTGAAAGCTTTATTTTATAGATCATTTGTGAACCATTAATTGTTGTTGTTTTACCCTCACCAGAGGATGCATTTTACTGATTTTAGGGAGAGAAGGAGGAACATCTGTGTGAGAGAAACATCAATTGGTTGCCTTCCATACATGCCCCAACCAGGGATGGAATCTGCAACGTGGTTATGTGTACTGACCGGGAATAGGACCCCCAACCTTTTGGTTTGTGTTTTCATATTCATTTTACAAAGGTGGAAATATCAGAATCATTTTTCAGATAGCCCATGGCTTGCCTTACTCTGTCAGTATTGCTAACTTTACCCTTTTCCTAGGTAAATGCTTTGTGGTCCAGCAGAAATGTGTTTGGTATTTTAGGAATCAGTGACCTTCAAGGATGTGGTGGTGGACTTTACCCAGGAAGAATGGAAACAGCTGGATCCTGTACAGAGAGATTTATTCAGGGATGTGACATTGGAAAATTATACACATCTGGTCTCTATAGGTAGGATGATGCCTCTGAGTTAATATCTGAGGGTGTAAAGGAGCAAGGGGTTATTTTGTACATAGGTGAATTTTGCCTTTAAGTTAGGAAATCAAGGATTCCTAATTTTGAAAGGCTTTTCTCTCTCCTAGCAAGTAGGACAGACTAATAATTTTTCTGAACCCAGATCAGTTCCCAAATTATACCGTGTCAGGGAATCTGTAACACTGACGCTTGATATATTGATTCCCATCGGATCAGTCCCACATGTCTTTTCCTCTGGACACAGAGTGGTGAAGAGGAATTCTGACTGGGCACTTTTCTCTTACTGCAGACAGGTAACTGTCTTTTGTTTTCCCTCATGAGCAGGTCTCCAAGTTTCCAAACCTGATGTGATTTCCCAGTTAGAGCAAGGGACAGAGCCGTGGAGTGTGGAGCCAGGCATTCCAGTGGGTGGCTGTGGAGGTAAGTAATGGGTCCCAGAGTTGAATGTCATTAACCCAACCACCAGCCTGACAAGAGGATTTCGTGTCTGAAATGTGGACGTACTTGCTTTTTGTGGAGAAATGGGATGCCACCGGGACTCCCTTATGCTTTGTCAAAACTCTGTCTCAAGACATATTCTATTTTATACTCCTCAGAGCAGGCACCCTTTCTGCTTTTTGTAAAGGTAATCTCTTGATTAGTTCTGGATTCCATCTTTTCCCATCTCCTTTGGGAACCTCAGTTCATGATTATCACTTCACTTTTCAGCCCTTAAAGTTTTCTTTTGGGTTTCTTGGCTCTATCATTAGTACCTTCAAACAGAAGTAGGTAACCTTAATTTCCAACTACTTTCATTCAACATGGTTAATCGGTTAGGCTACTATCCAATCTGCCCCCCTACTTTCCCATCCACACTCTGCAATAGTGATTGCATCCTTCTTAATATCAGCTTCTGATTCTGTCACTTTACCAGACTATCCTTGAAATTATACTTTTCTGCATGCCACCTACTAGGGATTGGGATCCAACCTGCAACTGGGGCATGTGCCCTTGACCAGGATTGAACCTGGGACCCTTCAGTCCATAGGCCTTACGCTCTATCGACTGAACCAAACCAGTTAGAGCTAAAGACTTTGTTTTATATTCATAATAAAACTTTGAAGAAGGGGATGGGGTGGAAATGGAGGAGAGTATAGGGAGCATAAATGATAGAGAAAAAATAATTTTTTTTAATACACACACCAAAGAAAAAACATACAAAAGTTAATAAGTACAAAGTTAATAAGTCTTTTATTTTAAAATATATTAATTTTCTAAATTACATTTCATGAGACCATATTCTAATATAAAGGTTATAAAGGTGCAATGTCATTACCAAAAAGAGATATTTAGGTAAAAAAAACAATACACCCATGTTACACAGATAATGTAGATAATTCCAGTGGGCAGAAAATCCCTTGAAGTATTTAGTTCCAGTCTCTTGTTCACTTTTTGTTGCTGGAAATGAGCCACTAACGACAGTCTTGGCATGCTTGCCCCTGGTCCTGCCCTCTTCAGCATTTGGAGCAGACTTATCCTTAGCTGGTGACTTGGATACTTCTTGTCTATAACTTGATTTATAGTTCTGCAGGCATCTGTATAGGTACTTGAAGTTGTGATGGTACATACACAGGTGGGCACTGGTCCTGGGCCCTGTATGCATGATTTTTCTTACCCTCTTTCTTGACATCCTTTCTAGGCTGCCATGTGACCTGGCCCCTGCAGAGTCATGATCATATTCTAATGTGTAGTCTTTCTCACTGGCCCATGGTGTTCCTTAGCTGCTGGTTGTCAACACCCCCTTTCCATGTGGTGAAGTGGAAATGGCTTTATGCAATCCCTAGGGTGCTGTTCAGTCTGACTTTCTGGAACTTTCTCCAGTCCTTCATTCCTTGCCCACCCCTGATATTCTGGTAACTGTTGCTTATGTAGAAGACATGGCAGTGTGGATAGCATAGGTCACAGTTTGTTATCTTCAACTGGAATTCCATCCAGGGCTGGAGATGAGCCGCTTTCTCTGCTGGGCCTTTTCTCCTTTGATATAATCAGAGGCCATGGTCTCCAGTCCTCCACTGTGAAGTACTTCCAGGAGCTGAGGATATCTTCATGGCCATCTGCTATACAAATATGTCTTTGTTAGTGTCGTTTCCGTTGATGGCTATTTCCCAAAGCCTGTTGCTTTGATTGTTTGGTCCCTGCGTGGGAAGCTGCTCTGAACCTGCTGCTCCTCCACAGGCGGCACCACGCCCCACGGTGCCAGATGTGGTCTGCCTCCCTGCTTGAGCTTGCAGGTATAAGAGTGATAGTCAGTGACTGCGCTGGCAGCTTGTATTAAGTCTGCTATACCCTCTAGTTACCAGATTTTTTAAACACAGCCTCTTTTTAAAATCTTATTGGTATTAGAGAGAAAGGTAGGGAGGGAAACATAGGTGTGAGAATATTGATCGGCTGCTTCCTACACTCCCAGTACTAGGGGTTGAGCCCGTAACCTGGGCATGTGCCCTGACTAGAATCAAACTGGTAATCTCCAATGTTCGACCAACTGAATCATTTGGGTAAGGACAAATACAGTCATTTCTCTTGACTGAATTGCTAGCATTGACACCCTACTTCATTTAGTTGTCATCTTTCTTTTCTTAGGACTTGACAAATACACCCTAACCCCCAGAATAGAAAATACAGTAGTGTAACTCTACTTCCTGATAATGTACTTCTCTTTTTGTTTCATCTATTGTTTTCTTTGCTAATAAACTGCCTTCTTTCATTACTATATTTTAATCATCCCATTATCTTAGACACTCACCTGTGTTCTTTTATTACGTACATTCCTATGGTTTCAGCTATTGTTTTCCTTTATTTTTTGAGTTGATATTTTCTAACCTATATTTCAAGATCTTGGTTATTCTGCTTCTTTTGGTGTCCATCACCACAGATATTATATAGTCTCCATTTCTGTTCCTAATTCTCAGAACACCTAGAGTCAAACTGTTTTCCTCCCCTCCCCATTAAATTATTTCCACTACTATTTACAGCTTTCCCATTTTTAGCAGTGAAATGAGTGTTACTTCAGTATTCCAGGCCAGAATCCATGCAGCCTTTGCCAGGTATTTTTTTGTTTGTTCTGTCTTGACATCAGAGTTCTTATTTCTGTATTGTTGTTTATCAGTGAGAAATCTCAGTTCAGACTACCTCCTCTTAGCCTAGTGTGTCTCCTCTTAGTTATCTCTCTGTCACCCTTTAAATTAATAATTTCCTTAAATGGAGTTTCCTTATGAGTTCTTACAGATGATATATAAAACTGAATTACCCTTACCTGGTTTGGCTCAGTGGATAGAGCATTGGCCTGCAAACTGAAAGGTCCTAGGTTCAATGTGCCCAGGTTGTGGGCTCGTTCCCCAGTGGGGGACTTGCAGGAGGCCGCCAACCCATGACTCTCTCTCATTATGGATGTTTCTATATCACTCTCCCTCTTCTTTCTTCTCTGATATCAATAAAAATTATTTAAAAAAACACACACCTGAATTAGATATTCTCTTACTATTTTTTATTTATATAGCATTCTCCTTAGCTCCTTCCAAATTTCTCTTCAAATAATAGGGCTATTTTTGAAAATACTCAGAATATCCTGAGGGCTTTAAATTTCATTTAATTAGGTCATTTCCAAAACTGCCATTCATTTACTATTTGTTTTTACCCCTTTATTCAGAGAATACTGGCATTTTTTTTCTTTCAGACTGGGAAACAAGACCAGAAAAAAACTTATCAGTCCCAGAGCCATCTCCAGAAGCAGTAGTAGAAAAACACAAAAGTGATCAGTCGTGGAGTTCTAATTCCTCAGAAGCATTGTTATCTAAAGAAAATCTAGAGAGGCAGCAGGCAAATGAACAGACATTGCCAAAGGAAATAAAAATAACTGAGAATACAATACCACATTTGGAGAGAGACCATGTAAATCATGAAAAAAACATCAATATTAGTTCAAATGTAGTACGACAACAGGACATATCTCCAAAAGAGACTGCTACTAAAACAAGCACCAAACAGAATTTAAAACCAGTTAAAAAAGAGAAATCTTGTAAGTGCAATGAGTGTGGGAAAGCTTTTAGTTATTGTTCGGCGCTTATTCGCCATCAGAGAACACATACTGGAGAAAAACCTTACAAATGCAATGAATGCGAGAAAGCCTTTAGCAGAAGCGAAAACCTTATAAACCATCAAAGAATTCATACTGGGGATAAACCATATAAATGTGATCAATGTGGAAAAGGCTTCATTGAGGGTCCATCTCTTACTCAACATCAAAGAATTCATACGGGAGAAAAACCCTATAAATGTGAGGAATGTGGGAAAGCTTTTAGTCAGAGGACCCATCTTGTTCAGCATCATAGAATTCATACTGGTGAGAAGCCATATACTTGTAATGAATGTGGAAAAGCCTTTAGCCAGAGAGGCCACTTTATGGAACATCAGAAAATTCATACAGGAGAAAAACCATTTAAATGTCCTGAGTGTGATAAGACCTTCACAAGGAGCACTCACCTTACTCAACATCAAAAAATCCATACTGGAGAGAAAACCTATAAGTGTAATGAATGTGGGAAGGCCTTCAATGGGCCCTCAACATTTATCCGTCATCATATGATTCACACTGGTGAAAAACCATATGAATGCAATGAATGTGGAAAAGCCTTCAGTCAGCACTCGAACCTCACTCAACATCAGAAAACGCACACTGGGGAGAAACCTTATGATTGTGCTGAATGTGGAAAGTCCTTTAGTTACTGGTCATCCCTAGCTCAACATCTGAAAATTCATACCGGAGAAAAACCTTACAAATGCAATGAATGTGGGAAGGCCTTCAGTTACTGCTCATCCCTTACACAGCACCGCCGAATCCACACCAGAGAAAAACCCTTTGAATGCAATGAATGTGGGAAGGCTTTCAGTTACCTCTCAAACCTTAATCAGCATCAGAAGACTCATACCCAAGAGAAAGCTTATGAGTGTAAGGAATGTGGAAAAGCCTTTATTCGAAGTTCATCTCTTGCTAAGCACGAAAGAATTCATACTGGTGAGAAACCATATCAGTGTCATGAATGTGGGAAAACCTTTAGTTATGGCTCATCCCTTATTCAGCATAGGAAAATACATACTGGAGAAAGACCCTACAAGTGCAATGAATGTGGGAGAGCCTTCAACCAGAACATACACCTTACACAACATAAGAGAATTCACACGGGAGCAAAACCTTATGAGTGTGGTGAGTGTGGCAAAGCCTTTCGACATTGTTCATCTCTTGCTCAGCATCAAAAAACTCACACAGAAGAAAAGCCCTACCAGTGTAATAAATGTGAAAAGGCATTTAGCCAGAGCTCCCATCTGACTCAGCATGAAAGAATCCACACTGGAGAGAAGCCATTTAAGTGTAACGAATGTGACAAAGCCTTCAGCCGGAGCACTCATCTGACTGAGCATCAGAACACTCACACTGGGGAGAAGCCATTCAACTGTAACGAGTGCAGGAAGACTTTCAGCCAGAGCACTTACCTCATTCAGCATCAGAGAGTTCATTCGGGAGAGAAACCTTTTGGATGTAATGATTGTGGAAAAGCCTTCAGGTATCGTTCTGCTCTCAACAAACATCAGAAGCTACACCCTGGCATATGACTGTACTGTGAAAAACCAGAGTGGATTGAGAAACTGCTTAACTCGTTTTAACTGTTTACTCTCACACTGTGGAATGGAAAGTGCATTGGGCTGAAGTAATCAATTATGTTAAGCTACTTTATAACGTTAGAAAATTCAATTGCTTCAAGCCTCTTTTTCTTCTGTGAAATGAAGGATTTGGAGATGGTTTCAAAAGTTGTTTGGAGGCTTATATTCAGTCTACTCATAATATATTCTTGAATAGGATTACTATACAACACATTTTGCTGTGTTGCATCTAGACTATGTTTGTGCATGTTTTGCTAAGAGAAAGTATTTACACTTCAGCAACGAGGGATCTATTGTGCTCCTGTTCTAATGCATTTAAATTGTTTGAGTAACTGGTTTCTATTTAATAAAAAGGATTATAAAATACCCTCATGTTAATAATTCAGTAGCATGTAATGTTTTAGTACAAGTATTGAACTTTCCTATTATTTTCTATTATGTTTTAACATTCTAATTTATTACAACTCTAGAGATTCTCTTCTACAGCTCAAACTAGTGTTACCTGGCTCTAGTGGCTTAGTGGAATTGTTTTAGGAACTATACACTATTGCTAAATCATGCCTGGTATACTGCTTCATAGTTTAAATTACAAAAAAATAAAAAAGTAAAAATCAAATGTTGGACCACAGATTATATTAGAATTCTTTTGAGTCCTCAAAATGTATGGACTTGGTGTCTTGATGGCCCACCAGCCCCCTTTTTAAAATTATTTCATCCTCTTATTGCCTTTTCTCTCCATCTCCATTTCCTTTCACAGGCAGATTTTTTAAATTTTTTTAAATTTCTTTTCTTTTTTTAAAATTTATTTATTTATTTTTAATATATTTTATAGATTCCCCCCCCCCCTCCCTGGCAAATTTTAAAAGACAACTTGTGTTGGGAGAATAAAGACAAAAGATATATAAAGATGACTGATGGGATGTAAAAGTTAATCACCACTTGTCCCTCTACTTCCCAAAATTGCATAAAAAGCCATCAACTAAGAATTGAGGCAAAGGACTATTGGACTATTCCTCCACAACTCCAAGCTCATGTTTATACTACTTCAGACACCTAGGTTTCATAACTATAGTTCTTTTTCTATCTTTCATTGTTACAAAATTTTAATGCAAGATGCTCCGATTAGTTTGCAAGAACAACTAATTCATACCAGGAAAGACAGAAAATCACTAGTAGAATTAAACACAACCTTTGCATAAAAATGGGATTGGAAAATGAGTATCGTGGTTAGCAAGCATAACCAACAATGCACTTACTTCATTAAAACCAAGCACTCAGTTGAATTTAGATCTCCAAACTGCTGTATTGGAAAGCATTAAACGTTGTTAAAGATCGTGAGTGCATAGTCACGAGTCTTGTATCAAACAGTTTCATTAGAGAAGATTGCACATCTGAAGCAGCCTCCCTCTGATGAAGGGAAAGCGTGCTCCCTGCTGCTCCCATGCTCTCAGTGAGACTGGGCTCCCTCCTCTGCCGCCCCACTTTGTCCATGCATTACATTGGGTTCACACCTCCTCAAGAAGTCCGTCCATATCCAGAATCCACACGTTAACAAGTTAGTGAACTAATATTTGAAAAGGAAAAAGAAAACACCAGCGGGGTTCGGCAGAGGCTGGTGGTTCCACTCCTGGACTCCTGGGAGCTACCACCCGTGAAAAGGGAGCGCAAAATGGCCTTGGCTAGGGGGGGCTGGAGAAGGGCCAGGCACACCCTCAGCACGCGGGGTTCGGCCCTGTGCGCAGCCTTCCTGACCCACCCACTGTGGGAGCCCCTCTCCCTCCCACAGGGCCTCGCCAAGCGCCTGGCCTTGCGCTCTGGCATCATCGTGGAGACAGACATCAGACAGCGCTGGCGGAGCCACAGTGACATTTTTTTAAAGCTGACAGCCCACCCTCCCCATCCCTGATTCCTTCTGAGCCCACCTTGTCACCTGAAATCATTATTAGGAGAGCATTACTTTAAAAAAAAAAAAAAAAAAAAAAAAACAAACAAAAAAAAAAAAAACCCACCACTTTTAAAAATTAAATTCAGCTGAAACCGGTTTGGCTCAGTGATAGAGCGTCGGTATGCGGACTGAACGGTCCCGGGTTTGATTCCAGTCAAGGGCATGTACCTTGGTTACAGGCACATTCCGGGTGGGAGGTGTGCAAGAGGCAGCTGGTTGATGTTTCTCATGAACATTTCTATCAACATTTCTAGCTCTCTATCTCTCTCCCTTCCTCTCTGTAAAAAAATCAATAAAATATATTTTAAAAAATTGATTTCAGAAAGGAAGTGAGAGAGAGAGAAGCATCAATGAGAGAGAATAGTGGATCAGCTGCCTCCTGCTCGCCCCACACTGGGGATCGAGCTCATAAACCCTGGCATGTGTCCTAATGGGGAATCTAACTGTGATCTCTTGGTCCATAGGTCAATGCTCAACCCCTGAACCAGTAGGCTAGCCATACTTTTCTTAAAAAATGGACATTCCCCTTCCAAATTCAATGTAGGCTCTTACATCTCTACTGAGGAACTGGAGAGCGAACCATGACCCGTCCTGACCTTGATCATCTGCTCAGTGGTCGACAAACTCATTAGTCAACAGAGCCAAATGTCAACAGTACAATGATTGAAACTTCTTTTGAGAGCCACATTTTTTAAACTTAAACTATATGGGTAGGTACATTGTTATTAACTTAATTAGGGAACGCCTAAGCTGGCCTTTACTGAAAACTCAAGGAGGCAAAGAGCCGCATGTGGCTCGCGAGCTGCAGTTTGCTGATCACTGTTCTAGCCAATTCCTCTGGTGCCCACACGGACATTTCAGCTTGCCTATCTGATTGTCTCCTGCAAGTCCTCCTGACTCATTTTTTACACCTGACAATAATCCTATATAATAAAAGGCTAATATGCAAATCCACCAATCCAAGGAACACCTGGTCACTGTGACATGCACTAGGGGAAAACCAACACAGAAGCTGGACTCACAGCTGGCCACAGTAGTGGAGGGAGCCTCTCTGCCTCCCCAGCAGCACTAAGAATGTCCAACTGAGGTTCTGGGACTCAAGAGGGTGCAGGCCCGGCTGAGGGACCCCCTAGAATGCACCAATGTGGTGGTGCTGTCTGTGTCCAGTTTTGCCTCGGACATGCATTTCAGCTGGAAATAGGAAACACAAGAATCCTACCACTGGGTTGATTGAGGAATCAGAATTTCTAATCCTATCTGAAAAAGAGGGAATATTCTAATTGACCCACATGCCATTACAAAGATGGTGGTGTTCACAGCCAATAAGGAGGAATGTGCACATCCTCAAAGATGGCAGCACCCAGTCCTCTCAGCCTCCAGCTACCCAGGGCTGGCCCGAAGCACAGGGAAGCATTGGAGGGTAGCTGTCCAGCTGCCCACGGCCACCCGAGGCTCAGGTAACCAGGGCTGGCTGGGGCTTGCACTGCTGGCAGTGGCAGTAGCAGAGGTGTGGTGGGGTATTGCCTTCCCCTGGTGGCCAGATCGCCTCCTGCTCCTGAGGGCTCCTGGACTGTGAGAGGGGGCAGGACACCCCCTCCAGTGCATGAATTTTCATGTGCCAGACCTCTAGTTTATTTAGACTCTTGCACTAAAATCCAGATGCATAATTTATGGCAACTTGTTTTCTTGCCAGGTTGGCTGGCCTCTGTTCTTGTAGCCCAGATCCTATGCTAATGTATCTTCAGGGTACTTCTCTCTTTATAACAGCAGTACCACCTCCAAGGGATAGTTTTGGGAATTTGTGAGAGTTTTTTGGTTCTCATGCTGATTGAGGGCCAGGGATGGTGGACATTCCTGCAAAACAAAGACTGTCCCTTATTGGGCCAGACTTTGAAAAAAGCTGTTACCTGACACTACTTGACAAGTAAATATAAGGTATTCTGCACAACTTTGCAATATATTGGAAAATCTAGGAAACATACTTTTCTTTGAATGACTTCCACACAGTCCTCCAGGGATAAGGGAGGAGCTGTCCTTCCATGTCTCTCCTGTGGTCTTCCAGTCACCCATGAACCAACGAGGAGAAAGAATTTCCAGCCTAAAGTAAAGGCCTTGGTGAGACTGGGAGAGGCATCGGGGAGACAGGGCCAGGACGAAGGGGTTCCTGCTCCCAGGCCAGAGATTCCACCGAATTAAAAGAGGCATCAGAGTCCGGTGCACCTGGAAGCCCGAGCTGCCCTCACTCTGCAGGGACCAGCTGCAAGCCAAGGGCTGTCATTTATGGAATCGGTTCAAGCACATATTTCTGAAGAAGAGAATTGAATGAATCCATACAATCCATTTTAAGGAACAAAATAAACTGACTTACAAAACTGGCTACAAAAAAAGAAAAAGAAAAAGAAAATAAAAACTGGCTACAAAAATACGCTGAATGAAGATGAGATTGTGTACGATCATCTACTATAAAAACAATAAAATACACTTTTCTAAATCCTCCTTAAAATCAGAAAATAGGTCATTTTAAAGGGGGAAATAGGCGAACAACTTGGATATAATTATTGTAGAGATACCAAATAACGGATTTTTATGCAAATACATAAGGTCTCATTGAATTTGAGGCTCAATTTCTCACTAAGCCAAAATCAAGTAGGTGACTAACATTCTCCAAGTTTTTAAGCCAAATAACTTTTAAAGATGACGAAAGAAGTTCCTTCTAATAACATTACAATTGGCACGAATTGTATCCGACTCTTTCAAGAAAAGTCGTTGGGGAATGAGTTCCCTTTGAAGCCCACTTGGCCCCAAAGCAAGTCCAGGCGCTCAGGCTCCTGCGCCCGGCCCGCGGGGCTGCACGTGGCGAAGGGCGAAGGGCGAGGTGACCGAGCTTGGGACTGGCGGTGCCCTTGGGGGCTCAGGCTCTGGATAGGGAAAGGGGGCCCCACCTGACTCAGAGGACCACCAGGAGCACTGGACCCAATGAGGCTGTGCCCTCCGCACTGGCCTTCCTGCAACCGGCAGGTGCCAGTCCTCTGCCAGGAGGACAAGCTCCGGGTCTCACCCAGGCTCGCCTCGCAGCAGCTGCAACCAGGCCGACCTCCCACAACCGCCCTCTGAGTCGGGCAGGGTCTCCGGAGGCCTCCTCTCCCTGCCCCGGAAAACACCGCCGGTCCCGAGCTCAGCCACGTCTCCATCTCGCCGCCCGCGGCTCCACCTGGTGCGCTGCGCCACCCTCATCCGGCTGCGCGGGCTTCGGTCCTGGTCTCCCGCTCCGACCCCGTAGTCCGCGCGGGATCGCGAGCCAGTCTGCCGTCAGCGCTGGGGACCCGGCGCCTTGTACTCCAGGCACCTTCCCCCTCAATGCACGGACCAGCCCTTCACCCCTCGCGCCCCCGGACCCTCCTCTCTCTGTCCCCGCGCATGGCTCAGGTCTCCACACCGCAGAGCCTGCGGGCTGCCGCGCCCCGCGCGCCCCGGCTCCCGCGGATGCTGATGGCCTGGCGCGGGGCCCGCGGGTGCGGGGCGCCCCAACACCCTCGCTTTCCCCTCGCGCCGGGATCCCAACCGTCACCGAACCCTGCGCGCCGGGACTCGGCGGAGCCGGCGGGTGTCGGACCCCTCGGAGGCCGACGCCGTCCCCAAAGTCGCCGAGTCGCCTCGCCGCTCCTCATGGGCGGCTACCTGGGCAAATGGGGGGCTCCGCCCCCCGCGGCCGAGGGGGCTGCAGACCCGCCGCAGAGGCCCGCGACCCGCCAGCCCTCCCAGGCTCTTCACCAGCTCCACCGGGTTCAGCACGTCCACCGCGCCCACCCTGCGCCGCGGCTCCGCCCGGGCCGGAGGCCGCGGGACTGGGACCCCGCCAACCCCGCCTCGTGGGCAGCGAGTGAGGCCTGGAGGCGCTTCCCCATGCGGCGCCCCCAGCGTTCCATCGTGGGGCCGCTGCCCGCGGACTGGTGGGAGAGCTACCTGAAGCGCACCATCTGGTCCCTCCGGCACCCCCGGGCAGTGTGGAGCCCCGTGACCGTCAGAATCACCCCCCGGGCGCAGCGAGGGCTCCGCGCCGGGCCCCGGGCGCAGACCATCCGCTCGGCAGGGGCTTCCGCCTCGGAGACGCCCCCGGACCCGCGTGCGAAGGAGACGGTGCTCCGGGTCCTCAGAGAGTCCAAGCCAGGGAGGCTGCGGCCGGAGGAGCCGCCGCCCCGGGCCCCCGCGAGGCCTGACAGCAAGCGGGGAAGCCCCGAGGCCACAGTGTCTGCGTTCAAGCCTCTGGGGCGGAGTGGGAACCCCGCAGCCTTCGTGCCCAACCTCGGGCCTCTTAGCTTGGGCCAGGGCTTGAACAGGAGGCCCAGCTCCTGCTCCCTGAGCTCCGTGGCCAGCTCGCGTCCAGAGGGCCCCATGGGCGCCAAGAGAAACGCGATCATCAGCTCGTACAGCTCCGCCGGAGGCCTCTCCGAGCCTGGGAAGAGACAAGCGCCCCTCCCGATTCCCGAGTGGCCGGTGAAGAAGAAGAGCGGTCCTCAGCGGCGCGTGCCAGGCCCACTGGCCTCAAAGGAGCCCCCAGCAGCGTCCGGCAGCCCCGGGCCGCGACGCGAGGAGACTCCACAGCTGCTCGCTGGCCCTGAGCCCCCGCTGGCCCTGAGTCCATCCCTCCAGCTCGGCTATGCAGTCCCCGCTGAGGACCTGGCCTCGGGGACAGAAGGTAGGCTTCCGTGGAGCAGCAAAACCAAGAAGGATGTCACGGATGCCACCGCAGACCCTGCACCTGACTCCCAGTCTGCGGCTCTGCCTTCCCTGTCCCGCACCCTGTCTCCTGCAGGCCCCGATCCAGCCGAGGGCGCAGATCCTCAGGTGGCATCTCCAGGCCCATGGGCCTCCCCAGAGCCTGCGGGAGAGAGAACCAGTATGGTCCACTCGCCTCCGGAGATGCCCAGCCTGCTGGCCCCACTCAGGTGCTCCGGGCCAGAACCCCATGCAGGCCCCTCTGCAGGCTCAGAGTCCACAGCTGCTGTCACCTTTCTGACCCCCGTTCCCCCCACCTCACCTGTCACTGACACCACATGGCTACCCTCAACCTGTCAGGCTGACACGTCTCCCACGCCCCCGGACCCACCTGCCATCACCCCCATGGCACCCTCGGCAGAAAGGACTGCGTTTGGAGGGGTGAGGAGGCCGGTTCACCATCTTTCTGCCTCTGCACCGCCTGCTGCCGCCTCTGCTGACCCCACATCAAAGCCCAGTTGGAGGTCCCCACCCAACAATGAGGCCGGAGTCTCCTTACCTTCCAGCATCTCAGCCACAACAGCAGCCCGACCTCCTCCAGGCCTCTCAACGCCCACCTTCACGCCCGTCTTCGGCGGCATCGAACCGCTTAGAAAGAGGCCTGCGATCACTCCTTTCTCCTTCGAGCAGACCTCTCCTCCAGGTCCTTCTGCTGCTGCCCACCTCTTCCACAGCCTGGGCAAGATCAGCTCTATAGCCACCTCCACCACCCCGGTCAGCACACCCACAGACTCCTCTCTCAAGCCACCTCTGGACTTTGGTGGAGCAGGTGTTACCAGGACCGTAGGCAACAATTACTCTGACCCTCCCCCTCCTCACACTTTCCCCTTTGGGGCTTCCCATGCCTTCAGGGCCAATTTCTCGAGCCCAGTCAGCGGCTTCACTTTCCCAGCTCCCCAGCTTTCTACCATTCCCATGGTAAATGTGGGCAACATCTTCAGCCAGGTCTTTCCCAGCTCTGTCCAACTATCCCCTAGGGAAACCGCTGCCCATTTTAAGGGCAAGGTCATCCCCCTGTCGCCCTCAGCCCTTGTAACCTCAAGCCAGCCCACATTGTCATCGGGCATCTCCAACCCAACCTCAGCACTCACCGCTTCTTTGGGGTCAAGCTCAAAGCCACTTTTCCCACAATCCCTGGGAGTCACGCCCCAGCCTGTGTTTGGAGCCCCAGGTGGGCAAAGGCAAGCGGCTCTCCAACCAGCCCTTAGCCCATGCTTCAAGAGCTCTTCTGTTTTTGGAAGCTCAGCAGTGGTATCCCCAATCCCAGCCTCAACTCCAGCCCAGCCAGCCTTTGGCAGCCCCACACAGTCAGCATTTGGGGTGTTGACACCCTCTGCCTCCACCTTCCATGTCCCTGCCAGCATCCAGACAGGCACAGGCATCACCCCAGCAGGCTTTCTCTTGGGTCCAGCTAGTGCCACTAGTTTTGGGGTTGTCTCCCAGACCCACCAGAGTGGGGCTCAGACCTCAGTGTTCGGCAGCACAGCCCCACGACCTTTTGCCTTTGGGGGGTTAGTGACCCCTATGGACTGTGGGGAGTCTGGGGACAGCATGACCATCCCAGACATGAGCTCCAACTCTGGAGTGTTCTCCATGGGAGCAATGCCCGGTAGGGCCACATATACCGTCACACCCTTTGGAAAAGGCTGGAGTCAGAACACCCAGGGCCTAACCCCCCAGAACACACCCTTTGCCTTGGGGAGGCCCAGTATTTCTACCAGAAAGATTGTGTTTGGAGGCCCTCCCATGGCCCCCTTTGCTCACAGCCTCCCTGTCCCCAGACCAGTTAAGACAGGCAGTAGCTTTGGCTTAGGGATTCCCTCTCCACCTGCCCAGTGCTCCCTTGGGAGAGGGTCTTTCAGATCAGCAGTCCCTTCATTTTCCATTGGTGCCAAACCCAAAACTCCAAAGAATCGGGAGTCGGGGCATTCCCGAAGGCATCATCCTCACAAGAAATAGCTTGTGTCCCTCACCCTCACCCTGACTCGAACCTCTGTGTTGTTGGGAAGAGCCTCCATATCCTCTAATTTTCTAAAGGAAAAAATGCCCAGATTTAAGGCTAGAGCTTGATGTTCACCTGCGGGTCCTCATCCATATCCTAGAAGATGGGGCATCAGAATGTCTAGTGGTGACAGCAGAAAGAAACCGGGTGGAACCTCTGGACTTTTGCCCCCTTCCCCCGTGCCCATTCCTCTCTGCATCACGTGTAAGTTCAGTCAGTACACTGCTTCCTGCTTTTCCCCTGGGAACGGATATGCCAGGAAAGTAGCGGGCACAGCCCCACCCTCTTGCATCTTTGGGAGTAGGAATGGATTTGAAGTCTTAGCTTTTATTTGGCTTTAAGAATAGGGTCCCTTTCTTTGATCCCTGGGAATGCCAAGTCCTCATTCTTTGAAGAAGAGCCCACTCCTCATTCCAGAAAAGGGAAGCTCTTGACCAGTGAACCTCCAGGCTTGGAGCAGGCAGGTGGGCCTTGCCTCTTTGTCCACCATTCTCCAGTCTGTACACAAAGACCCCTCTTCATGGTGTCTAATAGGACTGCTTTGTGTGCTGTTTGGAGGACAAATGACCAGACCTACCTGTGGAACCTAAGTCTGGGCCTGCCTTACTGGATGAGTTGAATCACACCACATTGTGTCTACAAATGCTCATTTTCAAGTGTTTTTGGCTTTAAGGGATGACTTGTCAGAAAGAGCTAGGGCCAGGCAGGGGCAGGCAGGCTGGTGCAACCATTCTCTCTACAACATTGGCCGTGTTGCCTCTAGCAGGAGCAAGAAATGCAGTTAGGAAACTAAAGCTTACACCTCATTTTCCTTTTAATTTGTCTCTGAAACCACTCCTCCATGTTCATGTCTTGGGGGTAGGGAGGGAAGTGACAGGGGGGCGGGGGGAAGGAAGCTTCTTGGGCCTGAGAACAAAGGAAGAAAGCAAAAGAGAGCAGATATCTGGGCTGGTCTCTGCTCTGCAACCAATGACAGGCCTATGAATGAGCTGTGGCATGTTCCTTAGGACTGCTTATCATCTCAAAGAAGAAAAGAGACAAAACAACTCCCTGTAGATACCTCTCTCTTATTCTGTTCTATGGATACCTTGAAAGAGGCCTCACTGGAAAACAAGCCATCTTAAATTGGTTGATAAAATAAAAATTGTCTAAGTCAATGATGTAGAAATGACTGTGAAACTCATGTCAATTTGGAGGAAGAAAGATGTTAAAAAGCTTGCCTAAGCTCACCTCTTAGTTGAGGGGAGATACAAGATTTAAACCCAAAAGGTGCCAAGGTCTAGACTTCTCCTCCCTCATATAGCAAATCACCAAGATTATAACTTGAATCCAAGTCTCAATATCCATGCTAGTTGCTCCAGCAAAGTAAATGGGTGATACTGTATAGAACCTATTCACATAATGATGAACACATACTTACTTCCTGTTACATTTATCATATTCTGTGAGAAGAAAGTCACAGGTTAAGCCAGATCACCCAGAGATGAGATCGAACAAGGGCATGACTGTGGGAACCCCTTTCACATCCCATGTGATTCAGGGTTCGGGTTCTGGAGAAGGCCGCACACGAATGAAAAGAGATCTCTGAACGTGGTCTTGTCTGGGAACAATTTTCTCTCCAATTTTAATTTTGGAAATGGAGGCCAGGTGGTAGTCCAACTCTAGTGGGAGGACTACTACTCGCTCTGGCTTTGCCGTCCCTTTTATTAAGATTAAAATTATAGGATACACCCATATTCCCTAGGCAGACTCCAAAAAAAGCCAATCAGTGAATTTATGACTAACAGGTGGGGGCTGCTTCAACTACCAATATCTAGTAATTAGCTCTGACCCTTTAGAGCAATTAAGGTTGACCAGCCCTCCGAATTCCCTGTCCACAGCTCTCTATTATTAAAACAATGATTGGCTTCTGGCACATGACCATGGGAGGAGGTAATGGGGACCATATTGAGAGTCTGCTTGTCCTGCTGGTTTCCGACCAGCTCATCTCCACCTGTGACACTTGTGTGTCATGTCCTACCATTTCACATGATGAAAAGTGAAAAGAAAAAAAACTAAGCTTGGGTGGAAGGGCATTGACCCTTCCATAGAAGGCACCCAGAAAGGATTTGTTAAAATAATTTTATTTTACATGTACATGTACATATTACACATACATATTTTAGTATATTACTTTTTGTTTAATCTTATACTCATGCACTTGTTTTCATGACAACAAATACTCTTCGCAAATATAATTCTGAAAATTCCACTTAGGGACACTTAGGGACCATATGCTTCATGCCTATTTTGTGTCAATGTTAGTGAATGCATTAAGCTCATATATATTTGTTACTTTAAACCAATTATACTTTGTTTATACATTCCAAATATTTTTCTTAATAATGCTGAATACATATTTAATACATATCTGTATTAAAATCTTTATCTACATCCGTATTTCCCAAGGATTGAAGCTTAGAAGTGGAACCATTGGGTAAATATGGAAAAACACCTTCAAACCCTTGTTTTATGTTTCTTTCCAAATTTTTTGTCCTTGTGTTTCTTCCTAGAGTTGTTATGAGGAGCAAATGCTTGACCAATGAAAGGTCTTCTTCTGTCTGGGAAGCTCATCTTCTGCATATTTTCTTCTGACTTGTCTTTTTTTTTTTTTTTTTTTGAGTTATGGAAGGTCTTGTGTGTGTGTGTGTGTGTGTGTGTGTGTGTGTGTGTTTTGTTTTGTTTTCTCACTGTGAGGCCTTTGTATTGCAATATTTTCTCCCACTTAGAAACTTGTATTTCACCCAAATAATGCTGTCTTTGGATGATCACAGTGCTTAGTTGTTGTTTTGTTGTTGTTGTTGCTGTTGTGTGTGTGTGTGTTTTAAACTTTCTGCTGAAGAATAATATACAATCAGGGCCTGAACATTAGAGTATGGCTCACTGAATTTTCTCACACTGAACACATCAATGTAACCAACATCCAAGAAAAAAAAAATATTATGAATACTCCATAATCCCCTTTGTATGGAGATACTTATATTAACCAACATGTACTTTCAGAATTTTTCAGATACCCCTTTGTTCCTTCAGTCGGTCACCCCACAGGGGTCGTCAGTGGAGGCACACAGTTCTGGGCACCCTTGCTGGCGAGGAAAAAGTGAGGGGGAGGAATAGAGAGACTACGCTCAAGCTAACAAAACAACTTAAATCAGAAAGGGCTGCAACATGAGGATCATTTTCATCTATTTTTTAACAACCTGAGGCTTTGAACTTTGTAGCTTTCCAGTTGTGCATCAACGCCCAGACATAAATCCTGTGGACAACCCTCTTAAGTGGGGCGCTGGCAGCAGGAACAGTGGAGGCGCTGCCTGCCCTATGGGCCCCCAGGGAGGGAGATCCTGGTGGGATGGAGGAGCAGGTGAGGGGGGGCGGTGCCAGGCGGGGCTGCGGGGCTGCGAGGCTAGGGGTACGAGCTCTGCAGGCTACCCTGAGGGACCCCACCCGTGCCTGAATTCGTGCAACAGGCCTCTAGTTTTACTATAAACACGCTCAACATTTTTTTTTTTTTCTTCAAAACACTCTGGGTATCGCTTGGTAGCATTTCCAGAATTGCAGTTCACTTAAGACCCTTGAATAAAACGTTATCACTTAATTCTAACGAAGCCCCTGGTTTGTTCTCTCTCGGGGGAGACGAGGGGAGGTCGGAGCAGCGTCTGTGAATTGACGTTCTCCGATTCATGTACCAGAAAAGCATGTGCAAACCCGGACCCGCAAGTCCCCTGATCGCTGACCATCGCTGCTGGTTGGTCAACCCACTCGGATCTCTGAACGTGGTCTTGTCTGGGAACAATTTTCTCTCCACCGCAGCCAACTCTCTCCGGCCTATTGTCCAGGTAAATCCTTTTCTAAAATCTCATCCCCACTCTTCTCCTCTACTGTCAACAAACTTTCTCTCGCTCGGCTCGCCTGCCGCCTTCCCTTCCCTCTCCACCGTTCACGGGTTTTCTCTGCAGATTTCCTGTTCCAGCAAGCTTGGGTGCTTTCTGCGCGTTTTTTCTTTTGAGACCCCGTCCCCCGCCCCCAAGAAAGAAGTTGCACCCAGCAAGCGTAAAGTTGTCCTTTGGCTAGGTGACTGCGGACACCGTGCTCAGAAAGTACGAGGTGGGAGTATCAGAAATAAACCTGGGTGCTGGGATTTGTACAAATAAGAGAATGGGTTGCAGAGAGGAAGTGGAATTCAAATAAGGACCAAAAGGCAGACGAGGTCCCACCGAGATTTGAACTCGGATCGCTGGATTCAGAGTCCAGAGTGCTAACCATTACACCATGGGGCCAACATGCTCCTTGGTAACATAGCTTTTTCTCCCAAGCTCTTTGGTAGTAAGGTATGTCTGCTTCTCTAGGATTAAGTGGTGGGTAACTACTTGTCACGTACCAGCCAACACTTTTTACATAGAAATCTCTGGAAAAGACGCGTTGGGAGAGGAAGCGCCAAAAGCAGGTCATCTTTCACGGTAATTCCTCCCAGGGCCACGTGGGCTGTTAGTAAAATCAGAGTCTTCAGAGATTTGGAAAAAAGTCTTTTAAGAACTCCTTACTTTGATTCTCTCGTTGACTTTAAAAAGTAGATTAGTTGGTACTTTGGAAAGACCATTTAAAATCGAACAAACTTTTTAAAAAGTTGCCAGCTATCGTTTCCACTTTTTCTCTTTTACCCTGGGGAGAGCTCCCACTTTTGAGCATTCTGCCCCACCCCACCCCCCAACCACTGCTCCAGGAGGAAATAAAAGAAAACACTGTGAGGGAATATGTCGAATTTATGGGCACTGAATTGGGTCATGAGTGGATTAAAGGATATAACAAGAGTGATGGATTGGAATTTTGAGAATATGGCATGGTATAGGTTAGTCTCTGCTTTTTATCGGTTAAGAATCAAGTTTCTCTAAACATAAACACACCTATGGCCTTTATGGAAATCAGACCCACATTCTCTCTCATCACTGATGTTGTTATCTCTCCCTCTCCCTTTCTGAAAGCAATAAAAATCTATTTTAAAAAAGATTTATTGTATGTACTAGGCACTCTGTAGTAGGGTTTCATTGACGAACAAAACTGAGCACTACATCTCTTGGAAATTATATTCTAGTGAGAGTGACAGAAGAATTGAGTCATCGTACAAATTAACACAACATTTGCAATGAGAAAGGTATATAGTGCTAAGAGAAATATGAAGATTTATCTAGAAAGTTTTGGGAAGTTCTTTCTAAAAAAGTGAAGATGGAAAAGATACTAATCAGTATAGAAGAATATTTAAGGAAGGACAATAGCATGGCACAAATCTCTGGTAAGTTAGATTGCAAACAGGACAGGGTGTTAGAGAGAAAGGGGCCGGAGAAGATTTCAGGCCATAATCTTCAGGGTGACACATAAATAAGCATAAAAACATGAAGGTAATCGATAGTCAGCTCTTTCATTACAAACACACAATAGTTTTTGCCTCTTATCCCTTTGTCCTCTCAAAGTACACGGAATTTTGAGACCTGGTCTGACCTAACTTCAGTATAGAAGCGCTACATTTTCCCCAAACGATTTGAGGAAACGCGCGGGAATTCGGGTCATGTGAATCCCCTTTGGCGTGAATCCCCAACTGGAACCCGGGTCCCCTACCCCCTGCACTGCTGTGCTGGGCAAACGTAGGTGCACCAGCAGTCGGACCGTGAAGTATTTCCCGCTTGGGGTAGAGCACACTTTCCAGCCTACATTTAATCAGGTAGAAACAATGTGTTCCGTATCTCAGGCTTTTTAAAAATAAATGAATATATATATATATATGTGTGTGTGTATACATACGTATAAGTATATGTATACGTATATGTATATGTATATGTATGTGTATGTGTATATGTATATGTATGTATATATATGAACTAAACACACACATCACCAGCTCCCTGTACCGTGAAACAATTTCTTCCCCTGCTTTCTCGCTTCCCAGAAAACGCTCCCTCCACCGGGCAAATCCAGAATGCACTGTCCATGGTCCTGACCCCGGGAAGCGTAGGGCTTGCTCCGGGCAACCCAGGGGTCGCCACCTGCTGGGCGCGCACCTGGAACCCAGTCAGATGCTAATTCCTGGAAACGTCCGAGCGGACCCGCTGGCTGTTACCCTGTCTGCGAGGCCTACACGCCAGGTCCCTGCGTGTCAGTCTCGCAGACTTACCTTAACAGCACACCCAAGTAAACACACCCACACACCCGTGTAGCAATCCCAGCCAGGACTGGTCTGTGGGAAATGGAACTGAAAGTTGAACCTATTGACGCCGAGCTTTTCGGTGCCTTCTGGCCTCTAGCGGCCGCAGCACCTGGAAGTCTGGGCTCAGGGAATCGACGTGTGAAGACGCAGATTGAGCTCAGGTCCTCCCAGATCTGGAGACGCGGGTCCGACTCAAGTACTTGCACCCAGAAGCCCTGATTTGGAGTCGAGGGTTGGGCTCTGGTCCACGCACCTGGAATGCCTCTGCTTGGTGATGGAGGTCGTCCTTAGGTCTTCCTTTCTTTCCTTTTTTCTTTTTCTCCTATCTGTCGAACCTATTCATCATCAACTGTCTATCCAGGATCTATCCATCTGTTATCTATCATCCACTATCTATCGTCCATCTACTCATCCATTATTTATCTATCAATCATCTGCCATCTATCCACATACCATAAAAGGTCTTGGATCCAGATGACAAAAAATCGCTAAAGTGCAAGGCTAAGAGGGAAGGATCTGATTTTTAAATATAATTTGGTGGAGTTGGCGTTGTGATTCTTAGAAATTCTCTGGATAAATTCCCAGATTGACAACATAAATAAGCATAAAAACATGAGGACATGGATCTCAGCAGTGTTCCTCTGAGGAGGACTTTTTGGAAACCTCAAAGGCTTAGGCATTTAGAGGAGAGATGCAAATACAAAAGACCTTGAGCAAGAGTTGTTTCCACCTGGGACCTTCCGCGTGTCAGGTGAATGTGATAACCACTCCACTATGGAAACACCATGCTGAATGCTTGCTTTACAAGGTATATCAGAGTCACATACTTATTTCCTGGGTGTCCCCAAAACTAATACTTTTGAATGATTTTTCTTTTGGTACATTTTCATTCACAGTGCATTTTTTCTCCTCACATTATTTGTTAAAATAAAAATATGGAAATTCTCTGACTCATAATCAAATGTAACTCAAAACCCGAGTTAAAAATTCTCCAAAACTAGGCAGGGTGACATCCTCATCTTTTGAACTTTTAGGGGGTTTGTTTTATTTACTTGTAATTCAGTTGGGTGTAAGGTAATACTGTGGTTGTAATTCACATTTCTCTAATGACTAATCAGGTTGGAAATCTTTTTCATGTGCTTATTGACCACACGTGTATTTTTTCTTTGTTTTTATGCAGGTGTTTTTAAAATTGAAGTGCTTATTCAAGTGCTTTGCCCATTTGTCATTCACTCATCTTTTTATTATTGGTTTCTGGGATTTCTTTAAATAATTTAGACCCAAGTCCTTTGTCAGATATATGTATTATGCAGATTTTCACTCACTCTTTCACTTGTCTTTCCATTTCTTAAGAATGCCTTTTAATGAGCAGAGCAAAAGCAGGCAGGGCAGGGTCCAAGGGCCAGAGAGGGATGAGCAGAAGGTGCCTGCCTGGCAGCAGAGCAGAATGTGAGTGTCAGACTCGGATTAGTGGCGGGAGGGCACCAGCATGAACAGTGACATTTCTCTGACATTTGCTATTGAAATACTGACATCCACAATGAGAGTAAACACCCAGTTATATTTGCAGAACTTCTTGTCTGTAACAGAGCCATTTTAGCTGGGAGTGAGGATAGTTGCATACACAAGTCAGTTATACTCGGAACAGATGCTAAATGCCAATTCTTGGGAATTTCCTCTTCTTAAACAAGCTGCTTTCTCCTGTCCAGTGAACAATATGTCCTGGTCTGAGGTCAGCAGCAGGGAGTGGCGAGGGTGCGGGGCTCAGACCCCACCCCTAACCAAGCTCTTCTTTGCCAGCTTGAGCCAGGTCTGCAGCTGTTGCAAGATGCTCTGTAAAGAGGTGGGAGAATTTTGAAAGTCAGATCCTAGTATTAGTGAGGGCAGGAGCATGCAAATTAGTATGCAAATGAAAATGTAAATCACCCAGGGTTTTTTGTTGTTATCTTACCTGGCGCCCTAGGCGGAGGCTGGGGGTGTCTGAGGGCCGCTCAGGTGCCATATCCAAGCAGTGAGAGGCATTGGGGATGAGAAGGGCTGACACAGAGGGTCCCAAGACCTGTGTTACACTCAGCACATGCCAGGGGTCCGAATCCCCTGGGAAGAAAGGGCAAATGGTGTGCCGAACTGGGGCCTGCTGGAGACTTTGAGGTCAGGTTCGGATGGCACACTCACCATTCACGAACAGCACCTGGGTAGCCACTGGGGTCTGGCCACCATAGTAGGAGTTCGTCTGAGCCACAGCCTGGACTATGGATGAGGTTGAAAGCCCAAATACCTGCTCACACAGCTCCAGCTGGGAGGGCAGTGCTGGGAGTTTGGAGAAAGGACATGTGGGGTCTTCACAGGTGACATCTGTGGAGGGGGATATCTATGAGTGTGGGGTGTAAACCCAACTCCCCAGCCTCCTTCAGTTAATTACTGAGCTCTCCCCAACAATGACCAATGGATTCACAGCCCTGTCGAAGAGGCACCTCCCACACCCAGACAGAGATGGCCCAGAACAATAGGGCTGTGATGGGCTGAAAATTAAAATGTTGTTTAGAATGCTTATTTACTATGTCAGCTTATCTGTACCAGTAGAAAGAAATGCCTTCCTTCTGTTGATGTAATCTGTTCCCTTTCCTTTCTCATAAAAAGCCATTGCCTTTGTCTCTTAATTGGAAAACTATTTAAGTTTCTGCCTGAATCAGTGCTTCTCATATAGTTATTCTTATTGATCTCAAGTAAATGCTTTTTGCCTATCACTTATAACTTCAATATACTTTTTTTTTTTTAAAGGTTATCAGAGGAGGGTTGAGTCAGGTACTCACAGAAGCCGAACTCAGTACATGTCTGATACAACCACTGCCGGTCACCCACACCAGACACTTGGGGTTCTGTGACCCTCAGCTGTGCCAATGTCTCTGCTTGGGAGAAGCTTAAACATCTCTGGCCCAGGCCATGCATGACAACCTGGGGGACAATATACACACACACACATGCATAGAGTCTCCTCTTTCTCCTGCAAGCCAGGGTCTGGCAGCATAGGCCCCTAAAAGGCAAAGGTGAGAAGTCAGAAGAAAGAGTGCCTAAGTTCTCCTTGGACTCAGTGGTCAGAATGGATGGGCGCCTGGGTCCCTGTGGGTAAGAGGTTCAGGTCCTAGATGTCTTGGACCTTATTATCTGTGAGACCTGGGGCGAGTGATAGATAGTCTTGGGCCTCAGTTTCTCCCTCTGTAAGTGGGGATCATAACAGGGCCTGTCTCCTAGAACTACTGTGAGAATTCATGGAAATAATTCACACTTCACACAGCTCTCCGCGCACACGGCGCTGTATAAGTAACACCGGGATCGCAGCTGTGGCTTCCGAAGGTGAGGACTCTGGTTTCAGAAGAATGCTGTCCTCGGGGCTACCTATATCTTTTTAGTCTAAATGGTAATTGGCACTTGCTGTATGCCAGACCCTGTGCAGGCCCGAGAACAAGACAAAACAAGGCAGACAAAACAGACAGCCTCGGTGCTAATCTGCATCGTGTGTGAGCCCGTGACAGCCCCCTTATTTCACCTCCCTAGGCTCTGAACCATCCCCATTGACAGGTGAAGAACATGAGGCTCAGCAGTGGTGCAAGGCTGAGCAAGGCTGCACAGCGGAGGTGGGAACCTTGTCTAGGACTTTCCCACCGTGCTACGGGGAGCTCACCTGCACCGCCCGACGCAGCCCGCGGTAGGGCTTGCCCTCGAGCAGGAGTCCACAGAGCTGCCGCACGCTTAGCGGCGTCCCCGCCTGCCCGTTATACTGCACTGCGCCCCCCACCAGCGCCTGCAGCGCCCCCAGCAGCTCCGCCCGGTCCTCCGCGCGGCCCAGGGACGAGCAGGCACCCAGCTCAGCCTTCAGGGCTTTACGGGCCTCATCTCCCACGCGCAACCGTCGCTCCACCTCCGCGAAGGCCGTGGACACCGCCGCCCGGCACTGCAGGGAAGAAAGGCTACGTCGGCGGAGACCATTGTCTGGATCCGGCCTGTCTCTTCCAGGACCAGCATCCTCCTGAGCTCCCGAATGCCCACACTGAACCTCACTCCCTGATAGGTCCATCCTCCTCTGGCCCCGCCCACACTGAGCCTTACCCCCTGATAGGTCCATTCTCCTGGGGGGACCCCCACACTGAGCCTCACATCTTGTTAGGTCCACTCTCCTCTGGCCCCGCCCACACTTAGCTTCACCCCCTGATAGGTCCACTCTCCTCGGGCCCCGCCCATACTGAGCCTCACCCCCTTGATAGGTCCACTCTCCTCGGGCCCCGCCCACACCGGTCTCGCCTTCGTTGGAGCTCCTCCCTCCCGAGGTTTTGGCGGGTCCTCAGCGCCAGCCTCCTAGGGTCCGTGCATCTCTGGGGGTCCCACCTCCCCGGACCCCGCCACCGAGCTGGCTGCATTTTCCCTCTGGCCCCACTTTGAAGGCCGCCTCCCCTCTGCAGCCCCCAGGACGGGCCCCCTCCTACTTCCGGAGATCCGCCGATGGCCGTGTTCGTGAGGCTCCTGGACACCACCTGTGGCCCGACCGCGGGAGGAGAAGAGGCGCATCAGGGACCCGATGGCTGAGACCCCGCTCCTCCCCGGGCCCGCCCGCGGCCTCACCTTGTTGTACGCGGAGAAATCCAGCACGGCCCGCACCGGGGCCGAGGAGGCGACCGCGGCGAAGAGGAGATGTGGGAACTGGTGGGGAGAGGTTGTCAGGCGGGCGGGTCTGGGACCCCCAACCTTCCGCCCGATGCCACGCACGCCTCGCGTGGTCCCAGGCGAGCCCCTCTGTGCGCCGGGCCCTTGGGGAGCCGGCTGTGGAAAGCCCTTCTGTAGGGGGCGGGTGTGGGGAGAGGGTGTTCCTATCCCCTGAGGTGGGACCCCGAGTCCACCCCACCCCCAGGGGGTCCCGGGACCTTCAGCCGCGCCCAGGCGGCCAGGGAGCCGGCATAGGAGCCTCCGAAGCAGACCCAGGGGCTGGAAGAGGAGACGTTGTGGCGGCGGGAGAGCGCGAGGCGGGCGGAGACCACGTCGGCCAGCCTGGGGTCAAGAGGAGGCCGGTCGGTCACCTCGGCAATCCCTGGGACACCCCTCTGTGCAGGCGGGGCCGGACGGGGCAGTGGGTGTCTGGCTAGAAGCCGGGGCTCCTTTCTCGGGAAGTATTTCTGAAGGCTTCATCCACACACCAGTTTCCTGACGTGGCCAGGCCAGGGGAGACCCTTGGGAAAGCCTCCACCCTCCTCTCCTTCCATATTACGTGGGAGAGGAAAAACCTCAAGGCAGTTTGGGCAGGAACCAGACAAATGGAGAAGAAAGAGTTCCTCAGGCAGAGGAGGGTTCAGGTCAGAAGGGTGAGAGAACTGGGGGCAGGGGAGACAAAGCGGGAAAGCCATGCTGGGACACGTCTAACATCCTCTTTTCCAGGTGCTCCCTTCCCTCCCTAACCTTCCCAAACCAGTTTGCAGCCAGGACCATCCCACTGCAGTTAGAAACCAGGTAAGTTTGTGGAAGGATTGGAAGCTAGGGAGTAACACAGAGGCAAAGAGATACAGACAGACAGATGGACAAGAGTAAGATAGAGAAAGGCAAAGGAGAGGATTCCAGGCAAGTGGGGGAGAATAGAGCAGGTGAGGGGTTAGGGAAGGGTGTTGCTAGTATGAGTAGGGTGCCCTAAAGGAGGGGAGGGGAAATATGCAACATCTGAGGAGCCCAGAGGGAGGGTTCAGAGGCTCTCCACAGCTGAGCCTGTATGTCTGGGGAACAGCAAGGATGGCCGTGCAGCTGGAGCCCTATGAGTGGGAGGAAGTGCAGGTCAGAGAGTGACCAAGCCAGAGCGAGTCAAACCTCACGGCCATTGTGAAGATAGGACCTTACTGTGATGAGATGACAGATGTGAGGGCTTTGAGGTAGGGAGCGTGGTGGTCCGGATTACACCCTACCAACCACTCTGGCTTCATCTGGAGAATGGACTGAAGAGGTCAAGGGCAGCAGTGGAGGCCAGTGAGGAGGCTGTGTCCTTCGAGAGGAGACCAGGTCATGTGGACCAGTCATCAGAGTGAGGGTGAGAGAAGACAATGTATGAGAAAGAGATGGAGAGGGACAGAGACCCAGAGATGGAAAGAGAATAAGACACCGAAAGACAGAAAAACAACAACCATGAACCAAAGACTCAAGGTCAACTTCAGGCAGGGGAGACATCTCCAGTCCCTTGACCCCCAAACACTTTCCCTATCCCAACATACGCATGGCGGCTGGACAGGAAGCGGAGTTGGGGCATGGTGAGGCCCCCAGCAGGTATGCTCAGGCCATAAAACCTGTGTTCCAGGCCAATCACCAGGGCCCCCAAGGCTGGGGCCAGGGCTGCAGGATGCCCTGTGAAGAGGGAGGAAGGGGAGTGTGAGGTGGGTGAAGCTCTCTCAGCCCTCCCCCGGCTCCCCAGCTACGTCTCTCCCACTCTTGCTCCTTACCTCTCATCACTGAGCCAGGATCGAGGCTGCCCTCGCCCCCCAGATGCAGGAAAACGGGTCCATCCCGGCTGGCCCAGTGCTGGTCGTTTATCCAGTACCGCTGAGTGGTGAGGAAGAAGAAATGGGATTGTGAGCGTTCTGACCTCCCTTCTCTAGTCCCCGTTCCTCCCCGTCTTTCTCCCTAGGGGATCGTTCTTCTTATACTTAGTAGTGTTGGAAACAGGCTTGTTTATGGGGTCATTGCCCTCCTGTTGTCTTCTCACCTAGAATGTAAGACCTGTAAGAGCAGATATTTTGGGCAAATTTTTATCTCTTATGTCTCATGCCCAAGCATAGTGGCAAGCACGTGGGAGGCTCCTGCTCTATGTTAACAACTGTAGAAAAGTAACACATGCAGGCAGGTTGGGAATAGCACCAAGGTGAGAGGACCTTTGGAGGCTGCATACAGAGTAGGTGTGAAAAAGAGTGAGTTTGCTCATTCATTTAGGAGATATTGTCAAGTTGTGAGCTAGGGCTGATTCCAAAGTCAGTCCAAGTCTCTGCTAAACATCCAGACTGGTGGTGGTTCTAGCGTTTATTCTGAAGGACATGGGGAGGATGGAGAGAGAGAGAGAGAGAGAGAGAGAGAGAGAGAGAGAGAGAGAGAGAGAGAGAGAGAGAGAGAGAGAGAGAGAGAGAGAGAAGAGGCTGAGGGACGGAGTATGGAAGGAAGGAGAGGGCAGGGTAGACCGTGGGCTCCCCCGATCCCGACCTCACCTGTAGGAAGGACCTCCTGTCAGACGCATTGAAGGGGTCCAGGGGCTGCTCCAGCCACCCCTCTCTAGGGAGGGCCGCCACCCCCGGATCCAGACTCAGGCCCAGGGCAGAGCTCTCCTGAAAACGCTGAATGTGCTCTCTGAGGCGCCTAAGGAGAGAGGCTTCGGGGCCCAGAGGGGACAGCGTTCAGCCGAGCCCCCTTCGGAGCCCCCGCCTGAACCCCAGGCTTCTCCTACCTGGAGCTGAGGTCCCCCCGAGGGAAGCCAGGAGCAGAGGGCCCAGCCACAGGGCAGGGCCCAGGGCCATGTTGCCCGGTCCTCTGCGAGAAGCGCTCGGCATCCTCATCCGGCCCCAGAGCTGCCTGGAGGGTTATAGCCGCGGAGCTCGGGCTTCTTTGCAGACGCCTTTCCTGGGAACGGTCAAGCGTCGGTAGGATCCACCTACGCGGGGCAGGGACGCCGGCGTCTGTGTCCAGAGGCTAGGGAAGCCGCACCTGGATATCCAGTGTCTTTCCGCCGTTCCTGGTTTTCTCCCCTCTCGTCCCCTGGTCTCCTTTGCCCTGTCCCTCAGTTTCCCTTGGTTGAGCTTGTTTCTCCTTCGTGCCCTTCAGTCGTCGTTAAAACGAGTTAAACAAGAAAGTCTGCTTTGAAAAGAGGAGACATCCTTTAGTTCTAGATGTGCAAGAAGGCCAGCAAAGTTTTTATTCCTCTAAGTGAAAAGAGCTTCTCCGCCCCTGTAACTGGCCGGTTAGCTCAGTTGGTTAGAGCGTGGTGCTAATAACGCCAAGGTCGCGGGTTCGATCCCCGTACGGGCCACAGGTGTTTTCTTTTCCTTCAACATAGTTTTGCTGCAGCTATCTAATGTTGCTGCAGTCACCTCACACGTGGGAAGCAGGCTCCCCGAGGTAAGATTGGGATTAAACGTGGACTTCACTTCTTAATATTCAGCAGTGACACCAACACTCTTTGTCCCCTTCTTCAAAGGAAGGGGGTGGGGGGGGGACACATAAAAAGAAAAACCTGATTTTAGGAAAAAGTGGCATAAAGCCTTCACATAGAAATTTTAGTAAAGAGGATGCGAATACACCAGTAGGGGTGGCCCCGGAGGTGCTTCATCCACCTGCTGTCTCCTCACCTGCTGCCTTTTCGGCTCTGTCGACAGAGGTACTTCTTATGGTTAAAACCATCACCACCACACACATCCATATTTCTTTCCCTTTTTTCCCTTCCTTTCTTCCTTCCTTCCTCTCCTTCCCTTCTTCTTCTTCTTCTTCTCTCTCTCTCTCTCTCTCTCTCTCTCTCTCTCTCTCTCTCTCTCTTTCTTTTCTTCTTTCTTCTTTCGTATCCAAGTAATGTTGGAGTTAAGGACAGGCTGAGGGGTGAGTCATGGCCCAGGTAATGTGGCACAGTTGGAGAAAGGCCCCGGAATGTATGAAGTTCATAACTGGGTATTAAAATATGATTTTTATTTTGAACGTTGTGCATCAATTTAGAGATAACTAGTTATGCGTGGTGAGAACTATTTTTTATTTTTTATGGTGAGCTCTATTTCAAAACTTGCCATGTAGAATGTCTTCACTGTAAAATTCCAGAAAAGGTTGGGGAACCAAGTGTTTCCGCCCGGTTTCGAACCGGGGACCTTTCGCGTGTTAGGCGAACATGATAACCACTACACTACGGAAACTGACCTGCTACTGCCATTTTGCATTTCGGCATAAGTAAGAATTAACTTTGACTTTTACCCTTTCCATGAAGTTATTATTATTATTATTTGTCTTGTCTTTTTTCTTTTTGGTTGCTGTTGTTCAAACACCGATTTCCTTCCACACCCAGATCCTTGGCAGCCACAGCGTCAGAGCCGATCACTCCGCGACAGTCCGCACACCGGACTGAGGACCTCAGGCGCCTGGGAAATTTCAAGAATTATCTTGGCATGCTCTGCGCGCATTCCCCTGACCCCATCTCTTGGTGACTGTAATTACCTTGTAGAAGCTGGCCGAGCTCAGAGGACAAGGCCGGGACCTGGGGAGGGGGTGACCGGGATCCGGTGTGCTGCGAGGAGTGGGGGGAAGGACCTCGAGTCGGTCCATCCGACGTCACACTTTTCTGTTCGGTTCTGTCTCAGGTCCCCGCCTGGGACGTGTGCACTCGTGTCTTATGTCCCACAACGTCCCACAGCAGGAGGTGACCTCTGTGGCTCACCTGACTCTTCTTGGTGAAACACCCCATCTCCAGGGCCCCAAATCACCGTCCTTTCCAGGGACAGGCCACCTGCCTTCCACTAGGGTCTAAGGCTGACCACCCCCCTCCTCAGCGCCTCCCCCCCCCCCCCCCCCCCCGAGGCACCGAGAAGAGAAAAAGTGCTTGTCCCCAAAGTCGCCATGCTGATGGTCATGGTAAGTTTGTAGGTAATGACTTAGTTACCATCAGGCTGATGCACGGAGTGAAAGTCACAGGGACTTCTCCCAGAAGACGGGCGACCCTTCCAGTCTTTTGGGGCGGGAAACACTTGCTGGGGGGAGTGCTGTGACGTAAACACACCTGAGTCGGGGGAAGGGCCGCAGAATGGAGGGCAGGTGCCTGCCCTGGGGCGAAGCTCGCGCAGAGCGGGAGTGGGTCTGAGAGCGCCGTTCTAGGGATGAACCAGAGCTTGGCCTCCTTCCTTCCTTCTCCTCGCGGAAATCCACGTCACGAAGAATCAGTGACATGCATGGGCCGGGGCCGGGGGCTCAGGGAGACCCTCCGCTGCAGGAACTTAGATTTAACCTGAAGGTGTTGGGTGAGGAAGAATCAACTGCTCCAAGACGAACATGACAATTTCCATTTCCATCCAAAGGCCTCTTGGCTTCGGCGTCAATGAATAGAAAGGGCCGATATTGTGTGAAGAATGTTCCAAGCATCCTTACCTTTTGAAACAAGCCCACAGAAGTCACCACGTGCACTGGTGCTGTTGGAGATTGGTCCTCAGCCGAGCTCTCCTGCGCCTGAGGGGAACCGGTTCCTCCAGGGCCCGCTTCCCGGAGCAGGTGGGCTCCCTTTCTTCTGACCACCTGGGGGACGAGGGCACCGGATGTTGTTCTCTGTTGCCTAAGGGGCAAGCAGCTTTTCAAACGTATTATTCACAATCTTCCAGGAACTAGCAGTTCTAATTAGTACTAACTTGGTAATACTCAACCCACAAGTCCCTTCCTGTCACCGGGATGGCCGAGTGGTTAAGGCGTTGGACTTAAGATCCAATGGACGTATGTCCGCGTGGGTTCGAACCCCACTCCCGGTAGGTTGGTTGTAATAGAAATTTTATGTGGGGGAGGCATTTTATGTGGGGGAGAGGATGAATTCCTTGAGCAATACTAGTGCAGTTTGTAGTTGAGTCTTAATTTAGTCCTTCCAATGACTATAATTGATGGGTTTAGGTAATCGACATACAGTATGACATAGTTACTGACATCTCTGTATTAAAACCTAAGTTGTTTTCTGTGTCCTTTTCTCCTGTTCTTGAAATATATGAGCTTTTTTCATGATTTAGATTTTTTCCTCCACTATCGCTTTAATATTTATGTCTTTTAAAACAATTTTTAGTGCTTTCCCTAGGACTTCTTAATATACAGCTACAATTAATGTCTGCCTTCAAATAAGACCATGCTGGTCCTGTGTAAGTGAGTTTACTCACTCTTATATTTGTGTTATTGTCATAGTTCGCTTCCATGTGCACTATAACTTTACCGCATGTTTATACAACTTTTGCATTATGCAATCAGTTATTTTTAGAGTGATTAAAATTTGAAAACTTTTTATTGATATAACTATATTCTTAATTGTAATTAAAATATAATTAATTATTCTTTAAAAAATTATTCTTAATTATAGCCAATTAATTAAGAATTTGTTATCATTATTAATTAATAAAAACTTAGAGATGTCCCCAGGCCCTTGAGTTAAAATATTAAATCAAGTATCTCTGCCTGGTAAGACCACGTCAGTGAATTTGATTTGATTCAACTTTATATTCTTTCCACTTTGATTCTATACACGTAAGATCCACTCCTACTCAAACTTGCCCGGCTTCTGTTAGGATGCAATTCTTATGTGTGGCTCACCTCCTCGTGGGTCGCACTTTGTCCTTGAACTCGGGATCACTTATACAGTGCTATGTGTAGATTATAGCTCACTGGGGCGCAGAGTGGGGGGAGGAATAACATTAATTCACACACAAAAATTCTCCAGGATGCTTTCTTAGCTTTTAGTGCCTGGAATTTGTTTGTTTTTTGTTTGTTTGTTTGTTTGTTTGTTTAGTGCGTGGAATTTGTATAATATTCGGAGCCCTGGGTCAAGCCTTTGCTTGGTTATAAGTTTTTTGTCTTTATAAATTTGAAATAAAATCTTTAAAAAGGGGGGGGGCACAACAATGTGTATTTTTTATAAAGGCTGTGGCAAACCCAGGCCTGTCAGGCAGTCTCCTCTGTTCTGGGCAGGAGGGGTACAACCGGCAGCAGGTAGCTGTTTCCGTAGTGTAGTGGTTATCACGTTCGCCTCACACGCGAAAGGTCCCCGGTTCGAAACCGGGCGGAAACATAATTTTTCCCGAAATGCCATTTCAACATCTATAAGTTACAGACCTCAGGGTTCGTACGCTTTCTCCTTTTTGGAAAGCAAGCGTTACCCTAAGACATCCGCGGAGTCGCTGGCGTTCCGCACAAATCTACAAAATGACGCAAAGCCAGTAAGATGTCAACCCAAGAACCTCGGCCAAGCGGAGGTGGAGATACGCGTCCCTCGGGAAGCTCTGAAGGAGCCTCAGTGTCAGCGCCTAAGGGCGCCCAGCACCCAGGCAGCTGCACGGAGTGGGTCCGTTCCCTGCAGACGCAGCGAGGGACAGGGAAGCAGAGCAGACCTGGGAGCCTGCAGGGCCCACGGAGAAGAGGGAGCAGAGGCGACGCCGGGAGGAGGGCTGCGCGGCCCCGTCCCCGGGACACCCGTCAGGCCCGGTTGGGAGGGGCCTCTCCCTGGCCACCTCGGCGTTCCTCCCGGTTCAGACAGCAGCGCTGACCTGGAGGCCGATGGTCGTGGGTTTGGGGGTCCTTGTTCCTGGGAGCCGGATGGGGTCGCGGGCTCAGACATGGTTGCACGGTCCTCCGTCTCCGTGGACCGCCCCCTCCGCACTCGGGCGCCACCCTGTGTCGGACGCTCCGCACTGCAGCGCCGGACCCGCGCCTCCGCGAGCTTTCTCGGTCCGTTAGAGCGATTCTGTTTCCCAGGAGGAGCACGTTCCTCTGCGCCCGCATCTCGGATGATTCCTTTCTCTTTGTA